GTCGTCGGGGGGCGGGGGGGGGGGGGGGGTAACACTGAGTGATAACGGATCTGTGAAGCCTTTTTTCCAGGTTCTTGGTGTGTTTTGCTCTCGGAATTGGGCACCGGACACCCGGAATTATATTGGAAGCTGCTCACAGTCCGGGGTCTGAGGAATGGGAGGAACGCGTATCTGCAGTTAGATAATACAAGTGGGCTTCCACCTCCGCGCTTTAGACTGAAAAACAAGGAAAAGACGTCACTCAGAAACCAAACAAAATGGGGTTTTGTACTCACCATAAAATCCTTTTCTTGGTGCTCATTGAGGGACGCAGGATTCCAAGACAATTGGGTTATACTGCTGCCTGAAGGGGATTTGGACAGTGGCAAAGAAAAAAGTGACCGGCCTGGTATAATCCATCCCACTCCCAGCATGCCTCAGTTTTCTTACAAGTCTGGGATATATGGCAGCTGCATGCAACTCTTTAGGGAGCACATCATCCGGCGAGGATTTTTGAGACTCATCATCACATAGAGCCTCCGCAGCAGAAGGCTCCCAGACCACTGAGGCTGCAGGCTGGTCAGATTATGATTCTATACGGGAAGGCGTGGAAGTAGTCTATCATGAATGCAGCTGCTAGACTCATTCACCTAACCAACCGTTCAGTGTCTGCAACCTCCCTCTACTGATCCCTGCACTGGCTTCCATCCCCCCACCCCCTCTAATATTAACAAACACTTACAGAGCCATTCACAGCTCCGCCCCCGGCTATATCTCAGACCTTGTCTCAAAGTATCACCCTTACCGTCCCCTCCGCTCTTCCCAAGACCTCCTGCTTTCCAGCTCCCTCGTCACCTTCTCCCATACTCGCCTCCAGGACTTCTCTAGAGTGTCTCCCACCTCAACCTAACCGCTCAACCATTCATGCCCACACAGCTACCTCCTCATGTATCACTGGCCCCTCCCCTTTTAGATTGTAAGCCCCTCAGGGGCAGGGCACTCCTTACCATCTTGTCTTGAATTGTATTGTGTTGGCGCTATATAAATCCTCTATAATAATAATAATAATACTCTTGTGGCCTCTGTGGTCAGAAATTATAGCTGGCCCATGAAATCCTCCGGTGATAACACTGAGGGAGGGGCTCTGGAGGGAAGGAAGACAGAGAGATGTAGGAACTCAAGCAGAGGACAATGTTGCAGGCTGTCAGTGTCAGTCCCTGAAGAGAGAGCACTGTAGGCATCCCCGAGAGCTGTTGATAGACTGTGAGCTGGAGGGATTGCGCACAGTGGAACTGCTCCCCATATATTTGGGGTCCAGCACGTTGCACTGCAGTCGGGAACAACAGAGAACATGTAAAAACCCCGGGAGCTCACATAGGTGACCCGGTCGTTTTAGGTGGCAGCAAGGACTAACCAAGGTGGAACCGTGTGTCTTTTTTGGTTAGGAGCGGTGGGGAGGTGCTACCTCAGCAGTGGCGTAACAATTGCCATAACCTGCCGTTCCCCGGCACTCACCTTCTGCTTTCTAGTCCGACGTATCAACTGTCTGCTCTTTCTGGACATCTTCCCCGTCTCCTCTTCCTGGTGCCAATGGAAACAAAGATGAAATGTTAGCAGATAACACTGAATTCTGCACGAGGACATTTATTATCAAATATATCACCAAATGTGTGAAGAGGATGAGCGAAATCTGGTGTTGGTAAGTTGGAAAGGATACAAGAGTCCGAGGATGCAAGTGTCTGAGGATGCAAGTGTCTGAGGACGCAAGTGTCTGAGGATGCAAGTGTCTGAGGATGCAAGTGTCTGAGGACGCAAGTGTCTGAGGATACAAGGGCCTGAGGATACAAGTGTCTGAGGATACAAGGGTCTGAGGATACAAGTGTCTGAGGATACAAGTGTCTGAGGATACAAGGGTCTGAGGATACAAGGGTCTGAGGATACAAGGGTCTGAGGATACAAG